GATTTTTTTCAAACAATCTTTAAAAAAATAAGTATGCACTTACCCTTTTTAATGAATCCGCTACATCCTCATCATCGTCTTCAACGGAATTTCCACTGTCCTGTTCCGGTGCTGAAAGCAGGGCGATGGTGTAACTGATGTAACGCTATACGAAGTTAACAGATTGTTTAGAGGTCCAGAACAAGCGTTCCAACAGTGCTGAGCACACTTTCTGAGCTGCTAATCCCTCTCAAATCACAAAGACAAACGTTGTAGGGATTCTTTCCGTCCGTTCGGTGATGTTTGTCGTTTTGAGATCGACACCAAGATAGCCAGTTGGACGATGATGAACGAGGGCTTACTTGGAGATCGAATCGCTAGCTACTAGTCATGGAGATGTCTCGTTTCATTACTGCTTTTCCGTTAACTGGGCCGGTTTTGGATCGCGTCATCAAACTACAGAAAAAAGCAAGAAAACACAATTCAAAAATCAGTGGAGAAAGGTCTGAAATAATCGATGGTCGAAAAATCAATAAAATAAGGGCAAAAAGTTGAGGATCGAGTAGAACAGCGTGCAGGAGGCCAACCATCTTTTGAGAAACCCCGTAAACTGGAAATCGGAATGGTATTCCGTGAAATACTTGAAAAAGAGGCAGACGATAGTTAGCTAGCTAGCGAATCATATTCAAAAGCACCGCTGAAAATGCTCAATTTTCATAGGGGAGCAGCATTTTATTGATAGCCCATAGAACAATACAATTTAAAACACGTCGGACGAACTTAAAGGCACATTACACGCCAATCGCAGGGCGGAGTCAGACATAGCAGTGCGGAATTCCCATTGGCTGTTCGCTCCTCTCATGATGTTTGAGAGTAAGAGCTCATCAATGAAAAACTGGAACTGACTGTGCTCATCCGATCGGTGTGGAATGCGCCTTCGAATTTTCTGGTTTCTAAATTTTTCTAAATCTAACAATGTCACACCTTTGCCAGTGTTGTCCATCAGAGTGTCAATGATATTGTACGCCTCAGCGATAGCCTGCTTCTCATGATTATCACATGTCATGAAAAGGCCACTGATCCCCGCTTCCACGGACTTCTGCTTGACTCTAAAGGAGCAAATTTTAGGAGTCAGATTTGGCAGAAATACATTTTGTAAATGCCACAGAAGCGGATAGTATTCTGGAAGCCCGGTTAGCCTTTCTAAAACTGCACTTACCCATTATGGAAATAATCTGAGCAAGCCCTAAATTCCGAGCTTTTCTACCCTCACCCGAATCGCAGTCGCTTGGAAAAACCAAGGTAGAGTAAGGTAGAGGTGGTAAAAAGACCTCACTGCGATCAAAGTCTTGCTAAGCCTATTCCACATTTCTTGTAGCGATCAACAGGATTGAGTTGGTCAAATGTACGCCCACTTTCAAGCCCTTGTGCCCTGTCGATCTCTATTGTGAGCTGAACTGCACGAAGCACACGGGAACCAGTAAATGGAGCTACCAATCACTCAGTCTTTTCGAATGGTTGGTGTGAAAGTCAGCGAATGTCTGAGGAATGATACCTTAAAGAAGGATTCCACGACTAAATCAGAGTCGAAGAGGCCAGATAATGCGCGTCTTTCAGTGAAAGATCTGCCCCTAAGAACTAGTAGGCCGTACGCGTAGCTCGCGCCTACACTCGACTACTGATCATCCCTCGCGTCCCCGGGCTCTAGCCGCGGATTACTAGCATCTTTGGTCAAGAACGCAAAGAGCTAACGTTCAAAGTACCACATCAGCATCTGTGGTAATCACGGTGCGAAAAACGATCCGTTCCTCGAGTCTAGACGCTTTTTTCCTTTTTTTTAACTGCCTGGATTAATGACCACCTCTATGCTTTGTAATTTTGACCGGCCGTTTTTTTTTAACCATGAAACTCCACCTTATTACACTATCCTCTACGAAAAAAGACGAAGGGTAGGGTTACCAATGACTGGCCCAGCCCACAGACCCCCACAACTATTTTAATACAAAATGACTTGGCAGTCAGCTGACGAGGAGCCTTAAGCGAAGACAAAGGGAAAACCGGAAGCAACAACTCATCAAACTTATTAAAAGCGACCAGTGCAACCTCTGGGAGTCATTATTTTATACGGCACATAAAACCGTGTTATGGGTGCTCAAAACCAAGGAAAAAGTAAAACATACGCATTGTTCCAACAGTATTTCCGCTTCCTCGAATTAGCGTCAGCGCTCATTTCGATCCTATGATGAGGAAAAGTTTAGCAAACAAACTCGCGCCAAATCTATGAAAATTCGTTTAGGAACACCTGACGGCCATAACTACAATACCAAAAATTCAAGTGCTATGTGTACAAAAAAATCGTGCATAGTAACTTCAGTATAAACAAATACGAAAACAGTTTTGTGGCACTGGAAACTGCGTAAGGCTGGTGTCGAAATGTACGCGATCCCGTCCGCGCGGATTGCCAAACTCTGACACAACATCGATCAAACATGACCTCCGGATGTTACTGGCAGTACTTTCTGCCGGGAAGAATGCGTTCACTTGCCTGATGGGCAAGTGTTGTAACTCAATCAGCTCGTGGACAAACGTTAGAAGCGAGGATGTTAATCATTCATCCTATTTGATATACCGGAACGAAATATCGCAAGCCCAAACTGGAGAAGAAAACAAGATAGTGCAAGAAAAAACGACAGAAAAGAAAAAATGGAAAACAACCGAAAACTGGTAACACGGAGTACAAGGATGACTCTTGGCACTACAGTCATTAAACATATCAAGATGGATCTCAATCTGCGCAGTGCAGTCTCCTATTTGCAGCTGTATAAGTACTTAAGGGCTCTACGTAACAAAATCAAACATCAAAAACGCCACAGCTCAATGGTCGCGACTTCGAACTAACTAGGCGGTCCCTCTTTTCCTATAAGTATTCCTCTCATTTGAATATCTGTTCAATGGTTTTGAATATTTGTGAGAGCCGTCGAATAGCAGCATCTTTAAGATAAATTCGATTTCCCAACTAAATCATTCCATTATAAGGAATCGAAACAATTATTGTAGGTATATAAAAAATCTTTCATTACCTACAATTATCACCCAAAAACTAAAAATACTATCTGAAAACTCAAATCACAGTAAATGTAAATATGTGGTTGTTTCCTCAACAAAAAAGTGATGAAAATTGAAAAAAAAAGAGTAAAAAAAGTGTTTCGGAAGGTTGTAAATGTTTCAGAGAACGATCAAATCCGCAGAGGCTAATTAGACGGAGCTGGCTTGGCTCGCTCTGTGAGGCCCTCAACAGCTCAGCCGGTGACTTTGATAAGATCAAATGACAAGTGAGAGAACTGTTATAGGTTTTTTCAGAGGAACAATAAAGCCAACACATCAATCAGAATTACGAAATACAGGACAAGAGAAGTGCATGGCGCATCCCAGAACAATCAATCAACGGCACTTTTTTCTTACTCGTTCCTGATGTATATTATTTTGCTTTTTGTTCTCGAATATGCTGTATAATGTTCCACTAATTAGCGTTACACGAATAAACAACAATCAAATAGCTTATATTATAAGTTAATAAATTTATCTATTTGCTGCACATAAGTGCCCCACTGGCACTGCTACGATTTCAGCAAATATAAACAAAAAATAAACAAATAAATAAGTGGATAAATATTGCGCAACAATCCTCGATTTTCAAACCGGCTTGTTGATTATAGCGGTGGCGTGTTGCAGCATCCATCTGTCCAGCAAACAAAGAGATGACGGTGGGAAATTTTAGGACACATCAAATCGCCGCCAATTTGAGATCACAGGAGAGAAAACAAAGCCGCTAATGGATATGTGACCATTTTTGGCGATTTGTGGGAGAGAGTAGGAAGGAATGAGAAAAGGAGGAACTGAAGAATCAGCGGTTATAAAAAACACCACAGCACAGCACTGAAAATAAGTAACTCTTACCGAGCCATACCGAGCTGGATGACCATCGTCCTGACCGGTGGTCGTCGGCCCCATCCCCGTGCTCATTTCCTTGATAAAACGTTTCTGTGGGCAGTAGAAGACCTCTATGGGCGATTCAGAGAGTAGCAGTGGTTCCAAGCAAGTTGCCTCTTGAGGAGCCTTTACCCAGCGAATCGAAGTCAGTAGGAAAAACTGTTCGGAGGAAGAGCTTTTCATGTCAGATTACGTCAGACGCCAACCATATCGGCATTGCGTCAGCGGCCCGTGTGATGGGCAAAGATGGCCTAGGATGGACTAAACGGGTCGGAAGCAAGCCCTAGGCCATTGCGCAGCGCCGCTGGACGCCGGTCACATATTACCACCCCGCCCGCCAGCCAGGCTACACGTAATGAACAAAGAGCGGTTCACATTAGCTATCTCGGCTTCACATCGTTTCTGTCGAACGACATCCGAAATTGCATAAAGATATACCGTCAAACGTGTAGCGGAACTGGTTTGCACGAGACTCTTGCAGCACTTTGGTGTGTATCGGTTACGAAAGACCAACGCCATAAAGCTTCCACCCCTGAAGCATCAAA